GGCGGGGCTCGGCGACGAGCGCGCGGCGATGCTGAGCGACGTGCGCTCCGAGCTGGTCGAGGCGTTGACGAGCACTACCGGCGCCGCCCTCACCGCAAAGTGCGAGTCGCAGCGGCGCGGCGTCAAGCTGCTCGCCAACGAGCTCCTCGGCGCCGACGCGGCGGCGGGCAAGTCGGAGCTCGAGGGCGACGCGGAGGAGGGGACGCTCGTCGTGCCCGGCGAGGGGGCGGCTCGCGCGCGCGCCGTCTTCGAGCTGCTCGTGCGGATCCTCGAGGCGGGCGGCGCCTTCGGCCCCTCGCGCGGCGCGCCGGCGGAGGAGCAGGCGGCGCTGCGGCTGGAGGCCGGCTGTGCGCTGCTCGCCCTCGCGCGGACGCGTTCGCTGTCGGTCACGTCGGTGATGGGGCCGGAGCGGTGGCACCGGCTGGGCGACTGCATGCAGGACGAGGACCCGGACGTGCGCGCCAAGTACGCGCTGAAGGTGTGTGGGTCGCCGCACGCGCCAGCCCCCTCCCGCCGCCGCCACAGCGCGCGACCGTTCCCGGGCCGGTTCCCCGGAGCGTGAGAGGCCTCCTCCCTCTCAGGTGTACCGCGAGCTGATGCGCCCCTTCAACGCGCGCAAGACGATGGCAGCCTCGGGCGCGCCCACGCCGTACCTCGTCTTCCGCAAGAGCGGGCTGCCGCCGCGCTTCTGCCCGCTCCTCGCGCTGGCGGCGCTCGACGCAAACAAGGCCAACGCGAGCCTCGCAAAGAACTACCTGACGTCGATGTGCAGGCGGCTGCGCCACTGCGCAGAGGCGCCTCGAGCCCGAGGGCCAGTGCGCGAGCCGTGGCACAGGTTGTGAGGGGCGTGACACGGCTGCTGTAGGAGCTCAAGCAGCCGCACGTGATGCCCGAGGCACAGCTGCCGTGGCTGGTGCGCACTGCAGACCCCGCGCGCGCCACGAGCACGCCACAGCTCGCGGAATGAGCGTGTGGCCGTTGCTGTTAGGTCCACTTGCTCGCGCACCACGCGCACTTTGAGGAGGAGTACGAGGAGGACCCTTGCCTCCCCACCACGCAGCGCTGCCTCGACTTCTTCCTCTCGGCGACCCACCCCCCGGCGGCGCACCCCTCCCTCCTCGAGTCGCCCGCTCACAGCCGCCCCCCGGCCATGGAACAGGCGCTCCTCGCCGGCGCTTCCGAGTTCGACTTGCTCCGCACGGTGGGCAACCTGATCAAGCGCTCTTCCGACCGCGCCTCGGACGACTCGCACGAGGCGCATGCGTCTCCACCCGGCCCCGTCCTCAGACAGCGCACCCTCCTGTCTTCACACCTCGGCCCGCTCGCAGGTGCACACCGTCGCCGACGTCGCGCGCGAGATCCTCGCGATGCGCGGCAAGGGCGGCAAGTGGTCGCACCGCCCCGTGCCGTCGTCGCTGCGGCTGCCGCAGATGCTGTACACACCCGCGCCGCCGGGCGCGTCGGACGGCGACTTCGACATGCTGCCGCACGGCTTCAAGCTGCTCGACCACGTCGGCAAGGGCGGCGGCGGTGTGCTCGCGGTCACCGGCGTCAAGCGGTCGAGCCCGGCGGCCAAGCGGCTCTCGGCGGCCACCCCCAAGCAGCGCGCACTGCCCTCGCCAGTGGGGATCGACACGGGCAGCGCCAAGAAGGCGCGCCGCCGCAGCAGCAAGGGCAGCGGTAGCGGTGGCAAGGGCAGCGGCGGCAAGGGCCGGAGCAAGGACGAGAGCAGCGGCGAGGAGAGCGAGGAGGAGGGCGGGGAGGGCGGCGAGGAGGAGGCGAGCCTCCCACACAAGACCGTCCCCAACCCCTCCACCTTTCTCCCACCTCGCTCCGAGACGCCCCCCAGTCCTCCCCGGACCACGCTGCACCCGCACCACCGCGGAGCCTCCGCCCCCTCACCCCCCCCCCTCCCCTCCCCCTCGCCGCCGCCCCCGCAGGCCTCCCCCATGGAGCAGAGCGACGGCGAGGAGGCCGAGCAGGGCGCCGCCGCTCGCCTCAAAGCGCGCCAGGAGAAGGAGGAGCGCCAAGAGGCGGAGCGCTCGGCGCGCGCAAAGCGCCGCTCCTCCGCCGACGACGAGCAGGGCAGCGCCGCCTCCAAGACGCCGAAGCGGCGCGGCACCCCGACACCGACCAAGGGCGCGCGGTCCTCGGCGACGGTCGGCGAGAATGTGGCGCCCCAGGGCTCGCCCGCAAAGGGGCGCAGCACCCGGGCGCGGCGCTGAGGCGCGGTGCGACGGCGCGCGAGCGGCGAGGGTCCTGCAGCAGCGGCCGGAAGAGCAAGGCCTGAGTCCCTCCTCGCGGCGTCGGCGAGCCCAGCGGTCGCTCATCGCTGCGGCACTTGAGAGTGTGGCGGCGCCATGCGGCGTACCTAAGTACACGAGTCGATTTGCGAGTGCGCACCGGGCGTAGCAGAAGAGCCCCGGTTGTGCGCTGCGTCGGTGGCATGAACCGTAATGTACAGTCGCGAGAGTCGGAGGGGGCGGGCAATGTGAGGCAGCCTGTGGCGCGACGCGGGCGCATGTGGGGGGTAATCACAAGGGGAGTGAACACACAGATCACAGTGGTCTCTTGTCGAGAAAAGTTTAACAGAGTACAGCTGAGACAGGTCAGGAGAGATATGGAACTCACGACAACCATCGTTCGATCACGACTGACCCGGGTCACGCAGAGCGCAGCGCAGGACGTGCACACGCATGCACATGACGCATGCCACCGACCACAGGGACAACGTCTCAACGAGCCAAAGAACAGGAGGCGAGCGTGGCGGGTCTCGCCTGGCGCGTCAGGTCGTCAGCGCACACACACCACGAGACCGCCGGCCACTCACTCCGCCTTCGCCTCTTTGGGCGGCGGCTTGGAGCCAGCGACAATGCGCATCGCCTGGAGGGGGGAGAGGCCGGTGTCAGGAGAGGCGAGAGAGTGTCTGGAGGTGGGCGAGCCTCTCGCGGCCACATCGCCGCTGGCGTCTCGCGTCTCGCCTTGCGGGCGATGAGGGCAAACCAGTAGACGTTGAGCAGGATCGGGAGGGGGACGGTCAGTGCGCCTACCGACACGCGTGGCGGACATGTCCGGGGTGGGGGGGTGAGGCGGGGTTGGGGGGGCACCGCGAGGCGGCAGACAGAAGCGTGGCGGCTGTACCGAGGTGTATTGGCGATGGGAGGGGAGGGGAGATGGGCGTGTCTCAGAGTGTCAGAGTCCGCGCCGAGGGCTCGGTCGAAGGGGGCCATGCCGCAGTCCGAGGTGACGACTGCCTCGGCGAAGGCTTTTAGCAGCCATGGGATGGTGACGATGCGGCAGCCGAGGAAGGAGAGCGCCTGCAGAGCCGAGGTGGGGGCGAGGTGGAGGCGAGGTGGAGGCGAGGTGGAGGCGAGGTGGAGGCGAGGTGGAGGCGAGGTGGAGGCGAGGTGGAGGCGAGGTGGAGGCGAGGTGGAGGCGAGACATGCTGAGATGAGCCGAGATGGAGCCGAGATGGAGCCGAGATGGAGCCGAGATGGAGCCGAGATGAGCCCGAGATGTGCAGGAGCCGACGAGGGGGAGGAGGCGGAAGACGAGGCGGCGGCGCGCGCCCACACGAGTCCGACGGGCGTCTCGAGGGAGGGCAGCATCTTGCCCTTGTTTAGCACGAGGAAGAGGGCCTGCGAGGTGAGGGAAAGGGCTCTGTGTGAGAGCGTGTGTGCGCTTGTGGTGTGTGTGTGTGTGTGTGTGTGTGTGTGTGTGTGTGTGTGTGTGTGTACATGTCGCTGAGGCCCGATGCTTGGTCGGCTCGGCTGCATGTCTCGCCCCTGTCTCTGCATCTCGGGGCATGTCTCCTGTCCGATGTTGGTCAGCTCCGTGAAGAGGAAGAAGGACACGAAGACGACGGCGCGCCTGGTGACCCGCGTCGGGTGGTATTGGTTATTGGCGGGGGAGGAGAGGACGAAGGGACGAACGGCGCGCCCGCTGGCGATGCAGTACGGCCAGACCAGCAGAGAGATGAGATGGTGCCCGTACCTGCGGGCGGCGAGAAGCAGGTGTAAAGAGACGTGCGGCTGTGAAGATCTTGCATGCCCTCTGCAGGTGTGTGGGTCGAGGCCGCACATGAGCGCAGGGTTGCCGAGCTCGGCGCGGGTGAACTCCGGGTAGACGAGCATCACAATCGAGTCGTACACAAAGTAGCCGCACGTGAAGCCGCACGTCCACACCGCGAGCGGCGGAGCCGCCACCGTGGCAAGGTTCGGCTGCGCCGGGCAGGCAGCGTACGCAGGCGGGTCGGAAAAGAGGAGCTGCTGGAGGACTGCGGTGCCGGCCGGGCCGGAGACCAGCGCGTGAAGCCCGGAGACCACGCACTGCGACACGAAAAAGCGCCGCGACGGCGCGAGCGCATCGTGCGACTCTTTGGCCACAGTCGGAAAGAGGGCGCGCGTCGCAACGAGGCAGGCGCCCATGCCAATGGCGGAGGCGACGGCAATGGGCACCATCTGCATTATAGTCTCGACAAACCCAGCGACCTCATAGCCCGGCACCGCCATCGAGCCGTGCGAGCACTCCCGACGAGAGCAGGAACGAGAGCTCTCGAAGCCCACACGAAAAAGAATTTTACAACCAAACTCCCTCGCACAACACTGGGCACGAAAAAGAATGAATATTCACGATACCGAATCGGCGAGAGACTGCGAAGAGAGATAGGAAGAGGCGGACGCCCAAGGGTGGGCGACGGCTAGCGCATCACACCCCTCTCCTTAAAATCCCTGTGTGGTGGCGGCGTGCCGTCCTCCCATCCCTCCCTTGGTGTGTCCCTTTTCTTTCTTTCTTTTTTACACTTGGCACGGGACTGGGCGCGCGCTGGCACTATAAAAAAGAATTTTAGATGCAAGGTGAAAAATAATTTTACCGGGCTGACGCGCAACACTGGGCACAGGACTGGCGCGCAAGGCGCAACCCACTGGCACACTAGGTACAGCGGGAAAAAGAATTTAAAGCGGCGTGGACACTCTCTGGACTCTCTCGTCTCTGCGCGCACTGGCACTCAAGAAGACAGGAAAAGAATTTTCTTCGAGTTTTTCTCTTTCGCCATCCAAACGCAGCATTTCAGTGTTTTTCTAACCGCCAGACGCGGCCGCGGGGACCCCGCCGGGCAAGCGGACGGCGATCACGGTGACATTGTCCCCGCTGCCCCGCCGGGCCGCCTCGTCCACCAACGCCTTTTTTGATGGCGAAACTGCGGATGTGATTCGGGGTGGTGACAGCAGTTTCGCAGCGACCCAGGATGACAGAGCTGGCCTTTGCCAGGGTGAGGACTTTTGTGCGCCTCGGTGAGGCGGTTCCGATGGTATTTTTTTCGAGCGCAGGTGACTTCATCTTGCCGGTCAACTGCCGGCGGTCGACAACTGCCGTTCGAGCAGCGTCGGGTACCGCCGGCAAGATGAACTCACCTGAAGCTGAGCCGCGGCATGCCGCCCCGCCTGCGCGGCACGTATTTTCATTAGGAGGCGCATACGTGTACCAGCCGGTGGGGGGCAGCGATCCCGGGAGCTGCCAGCGATGGGGGGCGTCCGTGCAGCGCGTCGAGTTTTCTTTTTTCGTTGCGCCAGCGCCAGTCCACGCCCTTGTCGCGCATGTGAGCGCGCGGCAACGCTCGATCTCTACGGAGGCTCCAGCTCAGGTCAGAGGGCCCAGCCACTCGTTCGTCGGTTGGGTGTAAACAAACATTGCCTATGGTCTTCAACGCACAAAGGGTGTGAATAGAGCTCTCTTGATCCTTCTGAGCACGAAGACCGCTAGAACTCTTCTGCAGACTTTAGTGTTTCCGGTTTTCATTAGCTGTGAATGTTTGTATATGCGCCCGCCGCAGACCGCCCTATTCCACTGGCACGCGCCACGGGCCACGAGAGCCCTGGTAGAGCCCAGCTGGCATGTTCCATCGCCCGGGTGTCGGGCTGTCTGCATACAGACGTCTCGTCGCCGTGGCCGACGCGTGGTCCGACGTGTGGAGGAGTTTGACCTCAGCCAGGCCGTCGGTGTCGGCGGGCTGACGGCGGCCGCCGGAATCGCGATTCGCTCTGCCAGCTGCCAGCAGCCTCGTGTCGCCGCTCTCGTTGGCGCAGCAGCAGCGATTGGCCTTTGCGCCGTCGCTCGACGGCGTCACCGCCCATCTGACCTGCGCAGCTCCTGCAGCTCCTGCAGCTCCCGCTGTCAGTCTTCTGCTCTCACGCACCTCACTCGCCGCACGCGGATTGTGCGCCGCGCCAAGCAGGACACGTGCTCATGCAAACAATGCGAGAACTTAGTTGCGCCGCTCCTGTGGCGGCGCTGCTTTAGAGAGGAAGCGGCAGCGTGGGAAGCAAAGCAGATGGAGGCGGCGCGGCATGCCAAGGAGCTGCTGCTGGCGGAGGTTGAGCGGCTAAGTGCAGCAAGGGCCAAGAGCAAGAAGGGCAAGAAGAAGAAGAAGAATGTGGGCGTGGGCGATACGGGCGCCGCTAGGCTCAACGAGGAGATGCTGTGCAGTTAGAGAGCTCGTAGCGAGCTCGATTTTGATGAGAATTTGATGAGAAATATCTCGATTTTGAGCAAAAAACGCCAAAAATCGGCGCCTGCGGCGGGCCAGCCTCCGGCGGCGCCTGCGGCGGGCCGCCCGCCCCAGACCCTGTTTACACCCGAGCTATGCCCCACGACCTGAGCCGGAGCCGGACGGGAATGGTGTGGGATTGGACCGAAGCGCACAGGCACAGCGCGATCTCGACTCGCTTACCGTAGCGAGCAGCGCGAGCGCGGAGATTGCTTTGGGCGAAGAGGTCTGCGATTCGACACGCGCGAGCTGTTGCCGTGTTGGCCTGCGTGCCGACCTGCAGCGCTGCACGCAGCCGCGCCGGCAGCTGGGGCCGGCCGGGTGCAGCGACCAGCGTGCTCACCTATGTCCTATCCCTCCGCCACCTCTGCTGTGATGGCTGCCTCCCCTTCCGTGTTCCGGCAACACACAAAGAGCAAACAACATATTGCTCAAAATCTCTCTCTCAGCATGTAGAGCCTACAAATTGTTCGCACGGCGCACAGACTCGCAATCCGCCGCCTTGCACACCCCCTCCAGAGCAGCTTGGCCGAGCGTGTCCCGCTTCACGGCATCCGAAGGAATGCGGACTGCCTCACCCGCGCGGCTCGGCACGGCGTTGTGGACGGCAGCGAGCTCGAGGTAGGAAGTCAGCGCGCCGCGTGCCCGCTCCAGTGCCGCCTGCTGCGCGGGGACGTCGTCCACGCGGCAGCCCTGCTCCAGAGACGCAATTGAGGCCTCAAAGCTGTTGGTCAGCGCTGCGGCTTTGGAGAGATCCTCTCCGCTCAGCGGTGCCATCTTGGTGGCAAGCACCATGACCGCCGGCGCGCTCTTGAAGTAGATGGCCGAGAGCCGCAGGACTGTGATGCTGTCTTCTCTGGTGCCTCTGTAGCCGGGCAGCGCCAGATCGACAGCGAGCTGGTCGAGCTGGCCCAAGGAGTCGGCGAGCTTGCGAAGCTGCGCCTGCGCACGGTCGAGGCTGCCGCCAGACTCGACGAAGCCCATGAGGTCACCGAGTACTGGCACGACGATCCGGTCGTCGCGACCGTAGATGCCTTCGGCAATCGAGCGCGCAGGAGCGCAGCACGGCAAAGCGGCGAGGCTCGCTAGCGCAGCGCGCCTGCTCAAGCAACCAGACTGCACCAACGCCGACGCAGCCGAGAGGGCGGTGGCGAGAGCAAAGGTCGCGCGCTCTCGAGCCATTCGCGCTAGAATTCTTTGTTGCTGCAGCTGGTTGCTGTACTCGAGTACGATCGAGTCCGAGGTGACAACAGATCAGGGGAGTGTCTTTGACTCGCCCCCGCCCTTTCCCTGTCAGCAGTTCACCTACGGGTATGTTCGTAAGAGCTACATACACTGGTATTGCTAAAAATTCGGCGGTAGTGATCTAATCACCCGAATACCACGTTCGGATCGCTCCTCATCGCAAACCCTGTCAGCAGTTCACCTACGGGTATGTTCGTAAGAGCTACGTACACTGATCTCCCTTTTGTCCCAGTAAGCTAAAAGTACGTACACTGAGAGAAAAAAATCTCTCTCTACAGTGGGTTTCGGGCATTAAGAAAACGTAGTATTAAGAAACCACGCCGAGCGATTTTCGCGAAAATCTAAGAAACCACGGCGCGCCGCAGGCGCGGCCCCGAGAAAAGGCCAGACACGAGTCTCGAGTGTGAACGGGAGCCCCAGCTCAAAATTTCTCTTCGCCTGCGGCGCGCGCACTTGTCACTTTCCAAGTCTACGGTGTTCTGAGTGGAGTGGAGATGGAGGCGTGTGTGCGTCTTCCCGTCATCCAGAGAGCCGACTCGGCGGCAGACTCTGGCATCGCCCTCGCGGACCGCAGCTTACCTCTTACCTAAAATCCTTAGGGGGGCGGCTCTCCGTCGCCGCCTCCCCCGAGCCCGCCGCCGCCCTTGCCGCCGCCCCCATCGCCTCTGCCAAGCCCGCCACCGAGCCCCCCGCCGCCGACGCCATCGCCGCCTCCGTCGTTGCCACCGCCCTCCCCAGCGCCTCCCTCGCCTCCGCCACCCTCGTCGCCCCCATCGCCGCCTCCGCCGCCGCCCTCGCCGCCTCCGTCGCCGCCTCCGTCGCCGCCTCCCCCGAGCCCGCCGCCGCCCTTGCCGCCGCCCCCATCGCCTCT